TCTGGGTAGTAGTGAGTGTGGTGATTGACTGTCTAGCTTTCACCGAATATCTTGCAGCTGGAGAAGCAGACACAAGAGAAAAAGTGAGGGCAAGGAGAGGGAAGAGACCGCGGACAACCATGGCAACTCGAAAGCAACCACCCTACATGGGTCGTTGATTGGCTTTTATACTGCTCGATCATCCGGCTAAGAAAAGGACGTGGAGCCTAGCTACGGTGGGACTCGAAGATCATGAATGTGTATAAATTAGCATGCGTTCATTCCTTCAGGTTCAATAAGCCTGTGCGAATCTGTAGCTGTCACTTGCTGATATGAGATGACTTGAAGGATCTGAGGACCGTGCTTGTTCATCTCGATAAATCATGCCATCGAGCTGTATTGGCAGTTCGAAGGTGATAAAAGTGCTATATTTGCGCTCTGGCGTGTATAGGAAAGATTGAATTTTTCAGTAAGAGAGTTCAAATAATTTGAATCCACCTTGCCTTGACCGTTAGAAGGATGGATCTAATGCTTCTTTCCCGGTTCAAAATCAGCTGAGCTGTTACCTGCTGTGCAACGCTTGGTCTGGTCAACACCTGATCATATCATTATGGGATATGTTGACAGGGGAGCTGTTAAGCGAAATATTGAGCAATAATTAGCCATCAGAGAATTAATTTCTGAATCCTCTTTCAGCTCTCGCAGGCTCGTGCGTAGGAAGCCCTCCATGAGGAAGGAAAGACGGTAAGCGCTCACATAAATAAGCGCTCACGAATTGTGAAAAGTACCATCAGCTTCAGCTGTCTCCCAAAAGCAGACTCTATACGTCTCTTGACGTACAGTAGCTGCATCAGGCTGTACCGGCTGTATCCGACTTTCTTCACTCTCATGCAACCGGCTTCGATCTTGGATCTATCATACTCTAACGCCGTGATGTAGCTACATACGTCCAGCTCCCTGCTTCATCCGTGCTGGCCCTCGTTGGGTCAAACCATCTTACCCACCTTGTATGGTTCAGGAACAGCGTACAGACGCTTTTTCGTATGAGCGGCTGTTGTAACAAAGCCTCAGCCTGCGACGACTCTCTGCTGTTGATTTAGGGTTCGATCAGTTCAAAGCTGAACAGATGGAAGATGCGAGAGGCTCTTTTTATACGTATATTCTAGCTTGTAGTGTGAATCTGTTAGGAACCAGTCTTCTCGTTAGATCTATCATGTCGGTGATGGCGGATAATAATAATAATATCCTGTTACGCTCTCCGTCACCAGACATGTAGGACAAAATTAGAATTGCTGCTTCACTCCCATTCCACCAGCACCAAAGGAGTAGTGTAGAGCTCGGAGGAGTCCATTTTGGTATAGCTCAAATAGATGTTCTGCCCGTTTCCCTGGTCTTCACTCAAGCCTGGATGCGCCTGTTGAGAGTATCCAGCAAAGTAAGACCCGGCTGGAGCTGTGTAAAATGTCTCCGGTGTAGTCCGGTGGTGCCCAGTTCTAACACTGGTAGTAGCCAACGCCACTAGCGAATTTGGCGCTGACTAAGCTACGGCGCCTAAAAAAGGTGGCAAATCAAGGTAAATCCGCTATTTTGTGTTTTCCTCCGCTAGTATATGCTAGTTTCTATGCTACAGTATGTGAGTGCTAAGAGTACAGTATCTACGAATAAAAAACCGGTGCAAAACAAGTGCAAAAGCAAATAAAAGAGCAATGGATGCAAAATAACGTGTTAACCGTGACCGGGTTTCGAAGGGCGCTTAAAAGTTGGCATTGTTTTCCACGGCGATTTCGATGCACCACCTACAGCTTCAACGACTTCACATCTCGACAAACTTTGAGAGAGTAAAGTGTTTAGAAATGTATTTTGAACGGTTTGTTCGAAAAAAAATCAATATGTATGGCCATTAATGCCATTTTCTGTACCTTGTAGGTACTATTCTGAATGGTTCCTCACAACTTTTGAAATGTTTTTTTCGAACAAAACGTATAGATTGCTATTCTAATCACTTTGTTACACTACACCTAGCTGCCAGGCAATGTGGTTGAAACTGCAGCTGGTGCATCCACTTTTTTCAAAGGTAATGCACTGGCGCTAATTTAATTCCCACACTTTTCCTGGCAGGCGTTGGCTACTACCACTAACACTTCCACTTGCCGTGCCTGAACGACACATTCACATCTGGAGGGTGCACATTCACATTTGATGGCGCACATTCGGTTACAATTGGGTTAAATGAATTATCCGCCTGATTTATAAGCAGCTTCGGAACACCCTGAGGCATTAATTCGCGGCCATAGGCCGCGCCGCCGTTAGGGCTAGCTCTGCTAGCCCTAACAATGCAGATAACCTGAGCTAAATTTTCGTTAGTTAGGTTCGGGGTTAGGGCGCCGAAGGCGCCAGGTTAGGGGTTAGGGTTGCCCGAAGGGCCTGAGGACATTTTTCCTGCGCAAAATGAAGCTTTAGAGTGCCCGCCGACGACTCCCCGGCTCGGGGGACCCCCCGAGCGCAGCGAGGGAGGGGAGCGGAGCGGAGTGCGGGCCTGAAATTTTGCGCGCTCGTCCGACCTAAATAGGAAGTTAAAAGCCAATGTGCATGCTCCAGATGTGAATGTGCACAGTTTGAATGTGAATGTATCACTCAGGCACGGCAAGTGGAAGTGTTAGAACTAGGTCATACCCGGTGTAGTCCATGGACCCTCTGGACTGGGAGCAGTAGTGATTTGAAATACAAAATTGTCACCAAAATCCGGAGAACCAAAGAAGCAGAGTAACTGCTGTAATAGAAAGTTCCTTGTTCTCCTGTACCCACGTTAGGTATGGCTTGGGTGCTGTCCGTGACACTAGGTTGTTCCTGGTCCCATGTATCAGTGTTCTGGTGTACTCGGAAATGTCCTCGATGCTGGCAGTGCTGACTCGAGCAAGTGCGATCCCAGAGTCGTTTAACAGGGCGTATAGATAGGCTATATCATCGCTGACAGCCCATCCATAATTACCATACGCAGGCGCACCAGCGGAGAGTCACCGGGGGAAGCGTATCTTCTGCTTGACTTGCCTCGTACGTGGAAAGATATACAGGGATACAGTTCCGTCACCTCCTTCTACTGGCAATGGAGGTGAATTTGGCCAAATTGCAAACCTCGTCGAGTCATCGCAGGCTCCTGCAACACCTTCACACTCTTCTGCAGTAGGTGGAAAATACGGACCATCATTTGTACCATAGCAGGTCAAATTGCCGTCGAGAACATCTGGTGTCCCATCGCTGTTGAAATTGGTCCATGATGCAGTGCTGCTATAGAAAAATTGCGAGCTTTACGAATCACGGCCAGTCCAAAGCTCGCGAGAGCCAACCATTGTAGAGGTGCATGAATCTCGGTTCAGTGTAGGGTCCTCAACATTAGCCACGACCTGAGGAGCGCCAGAAACGACAGGCGTTATAGTGCGAGGTCGTACAGTGGGAGACCGGGTCGTACTGGATCTAGCTAGAACGCAGAGGACAACTAATGCGGACAAGGTTTGCCACAACATTGTAGTGAAATATAACTGCTGAGGGTTGAGAAGGTTATTGTTTCAAACGAGGCGTTTGAGAATGAAGGAATAGATAAAATAAACGCTGGATGGAAGGATCTATTATACTTCTGTGAATAACAATATCATATCCATTTTCGCGTGATGCAAACAGGTCGTTCTGGTGACCACTGTATGCGCATAGATGAAAAATATCACACTTTTGAGATGGCAGTCGGGGAGAGCCTTCAAAGAATAACGGTACATGTACCGTTACTCTTTACAAATTCTTGAATACCTTGAATGCCATGGTCGCCAACACCACTGTCCCTAAAAGACAAAAGTGGATACCTTTTTGTTTTTGGCCGAAATGTACATGCCTTTGACTATTGGGATATCGAGATTTGTCAATGTAGTTGTTAATGAACGAGGGAGGGGAGATAGCAAAGACAGTTTTACCCAATTTCATCGTAGAGTCTGCCAATGGGTCGAATCATGATGAATCTAGTCATAGGCATTGTCTTTCTACGTTGCGTCCAGTTCCGTGCCGATATGCATGTGTATCGAGCAGTGTTGTCACTTAAGGGGTTATTAAGCCCAAAATTTGAAGCTAAGGCTTAAATACTTAATAAGGGCTTAGCCTTAACATGAATATTAAGGCTTAAGTAGAAAAAAAACTTGAGCAATAAGTACAGCTACAATTAAGCATAGTCATCCCCATAACCTTCAAGCTTAATCTGCTGCAATGAGTTCCATCCTTAGTACCTCCTCACTGACCTACTTTTTTGTCCTTGTCATTACAAATTCCTCAAAAGGCTTCGTGATTTTGGTGCCCAATGGGTCTTCAAGCTTTATCAACAACCAACTTATCCTTTCTGGAAGGTACTTCTGGGCCAACATTATCAGTGTCCATAAAATCAGCCTCTTGATCCTTCATTGTCCAATTTTTCAACTCTTTGCACCATACAGCACCTGATTTAATTGCTCATGTCACATGGTCACATCCTTAATTAAGGGTTAATTAAGGATTTCTTTTGATACTAAGGCTTAACTTAAGCTAAGGGTTAAGGGTTAATGACAACACTGGTATCGAGAAATATGCTCGCAAAGGCGTGTGTCCTCTGGAGTCTCCATGACGCATAGTGCCAGTCAGATCTTGGAAAGAGCAATTGATGCCGTCGTCAGAGAGATGGGCCGCGCTTGATGGCGAGATGAGCGGGTTGTTTGGATCTGCAGAAGCCTAAGGGACTGACTGCGAGAATGCGACTAGACTGCATGAAGATGGTATAATTTGGCATAAGCGCCCAATTTGCTTTTATAATATATTTTCCAAATTACTTACTTAACGACGTTTCTTTACGTGGGGATGAAGAAGGGATGATGGGGAGTATACTATGTATTATACTCATGCCTTTGCTCCTGCTCCTTCTCAAGCTCTTCTTCTGCGAAACCTGGCCGAAACCTGGCCAAATCGAATCTTCTACTAGAGTAGAGTAAAAACGCAACACATAAATTTTACAGTGGACAAATCCGGATTTGAACCGGAGACCTTTCGCAAACATACAAATGCAAAGCGAATGTGATAACCCCTACACCATATGCCCGATATGTTCTGTGCACATATTCACATCACTCTCCATTCCCAAGCAAGCAAGGACCGACCTCTCCTTTGGTCGTCTGATTCACTCTTGGTAGACCAGATTCCCCTCTCTCCGAGTCGTCTTACTACTTCATTGCTGCATTTGAATTCGTTCGCTTCCCGCCATTGCCCCAAGGGTCATTATCGAGTTTTAATTCCAAAATGAAAGGTCGGATTCGTCGGGGTACCTGGGAGCCAATTGGGAGCCTTGAAGCTTGAGTCAACGACAAAGGTTCAGATTCAAAGATGGAGATGGATGCTGGACACAGACACGAAAGGGAAGGTAATGGATTACGCCGCACTACGGAGGAACAAGTCTGGTATAATGGTACTAGCAGAAGCACGGGCCAGTCGTGTCATCCTTGAGTTATAGAAAGGTCATGGAGAGACAGTGAGTGGCTTGGCTGTTTGGACGAGTGTAAAAGTGTTAGCCAACTACCGGCCTCTAAATCTTCGAGCTTTTGTTCTTTGCTTTTTCCATCACCGTTATCGACTACTGTCTAGTATCTACGTCAAGGCTCGGAAAACTTCAATATGTTGCATGGGAGTTGGAAGAGCATTTAGTTAAGCGCTCAAGCACGTTAGATAAGATAGGCTACGCTGAGGAGAGAAAGGTTGAGACTCAGATCTGAGTCTCGCATATATATATTAGACAAAGAATGGCTTAAGGGTTTTTGGCTGGGCTTGGCCCGCGCGGGTGGGTATAAAATGAACACACACGAGAAGCGGGATCAAAGGCCTGAGTTGACCGTACAGGGGTACAGGCCACTGAAAACAGGGTGGGAGGGCGGGAGAGCTTGAAAACGCGTTGTACGCGCAAGACGTATGTGTTGGGAGTTTGAGAACAAGTGGAGAGCGTCTAATAGACGCAGGGTGCGAACTCCCAACGCCCGGGCGCCTATCTTATCCTCCGATAAGCCTGCCTTAGTGCTCAAACTTTCCATCGCATATCATGTCAACGTCTGTTGTCTACTAATGTTTTCAAATCTATGCGTCCAGTATTTATGTATAATTTTACTTTAACTACAGTCTGTGCTTGAGCTTGAACCCTGCTACTTCCCCGCTAACCCAGCATCACTGGCCAGAGAATAAAACACCGAATCCTTCTTTTCCAACAGCTTCTCCGGTGCTTCAAATTCAGCAATCTACATACTAATTTTAGCACGCAAGAGGGGAATAAAGAGAGCTAGTACTCACCCGTCCCGAGTCCATTACTAACACCCTGTCTGAGTCGATAATCGTATTCAAGCGATGACTATACAGAATGCAAAATCAGTCAAGGTCATACATAATTCTCAGCAGGTCCACTCACGCAATGGTTAAAATCGTAACATCCTTGAACGCTGGCCCACGGATGATATCCTGAATCGCCTTGTCCGTGTCGAGATCAACAGCGGACGTGGCTTCATCCAACACCAAGACTTTTGACTTTCTCAACAACGCCCGCGCGAAACACAGCAACTGTCTTTGTCCACTGCTCAAGCTTGAGCCTCCCTCCCTAACGGGTTCATCCAGTCCTTTACCATCAGGTAACCCCTCGACAAACTCCTTCAGATGCACCTGCCCCAACGCATCCCAGATATCGACATCGCTATGTTCGCCGACGGGGTCAATGTTTTCACGAAGCGTGCCTTCGAAAAGGTCGGGTGTTTGCGGGACGATGGAGATTGAGGAACGGACTGAGATGTAGTACATTAGTTATGCATTTAAAAAATGTGTATGGAGAACGTACGATCATGCAGCCCAATTTTTGTAATATCCACTCCATCAATAAATATCGTTCCCTCCACTGGTTCTATAATCCGGAATAGAGCTAATAGTAACTATACAGCAAACAGTGAGTCAATAATGCTCATTACTTGCAAACAGAAGACACATACCGAAGACTTGCCCGCTCCAGTCCTTCCAACTACCCCGATTTTTTCACTCGGTTTCTACAAAAACGACCATCAGTCATCATTTCCTTTGACGAAAGAGCAACACCTACAATATCCAAATCAATCTCCCTCAAGACCAAATCCAATCCTTCCCTGTACCTCGTCGAATACCCTTTGAACTCTACCGCTCCCGAAGTTGGCCACGCTTGGTCAATATTGACATCGGCAATCTCAAGCGGAGCCTCAGGTTGAACCTCTGTCTGATGCAATATCCTCTCGACACTAACGATATTCTGCTCCACTTCACTTGCTGTCCGTACAAGCCAGTTCTACAAAATCGAATGAGTATCGATGATAAATTTCATGGATATCCACTCACCAAACTCGATGTCGCATTGAGCGCATACGCCAACACCAATCCTACCAACCCCGCATCCACACCGCCGGGATTATTCACCACCGCTACACACGCCAACGATGCTACAATGAATATGATCGTCGCACCCACAAATTCCAACCGGATACTGAGCCACCTATTGACACTAATGCTACTCAAGTAACAAATCTGGTTTCGATCCACACGACGTTGGTTGGTCGAAGTGAAGATAGATTGTTGGTTGAACGCGCGGATAGTGCTGAGTCCGGAGAGGGATTCGCTGAACCAGGCAAAGATGGGAGAGCGGGAGACAGCGTCAAGACGTTTGAGTTCTCGGGAAGTGGCAAGGTAGTATCTGAAATGAATATCCAGTTAGAACGTATTACAAGCGAGATTATCTTGTCACTCACTTCATTACCCTCAAATAAAACCACCCAAGAGGTACAACCGCAAGCAAGAAAGGTGGGAAGCTAGATCCTATGACGAAGATAATCGAAGCCGTGACGGTCAACATCCTAAAGGACATGGATATTACACGGGCTAGAATTCCGTCAACGACGTATACGTCTCGAGAGAAGAGGTTCAGGATTCTGTATCACGTCACATCATTAGCACGGGAGAAAAAAGGTAAATTCGAGACGCGTACCGTCCAGTAGGCGTAAGCTCGAAAAAGCTCAATGGCGCACGAACGAGGGCATCCAACATCTACAAAAAATAATCAGTACGAAGCCCCTCCAATCACCTCAGCACTCACATTGTCATGCAACTGCCTCGCACTCCTAATCGAACAAAATACCCACACCAATATCGCGGACGCTCCGGATAGCAAGACCTGGGTGAAATTGTTAGCCGCATGCAAATTTTACAAGGACTTGCTGCTGCCTACCTGACTCAACGAAAGTACTCCATACGCAAGGATATACTTGAACATCCCGTCATTACTCCCCGTTTCCCTATTATGTTCTCCCCATGCCCTCAACGCGAAATTCCCGCCCACCGACACAGCTTGTCCTGCGATCGTCGCCAACATGAATAGCCCAAAAGCAGTTTTAGACGCAGCTTTGACGTAGGCAATGTACACTGCGATCTTGACCTTGCCTTGTTCTTTGTGTTCTTGGGATAGACCAATGGAGGTTGAAGCGGAAGCACGTGTGGGAGGAAGAGAGAGAAGCTTGGGTTTGGTGAAACTTGGTTGGCGCCGTAGCTTTTCAGAGATGATGATGGATTTATCAGAAATGAGGGTGGCGTCATCCTCTATCACAGGAGTGGCACTGCCGCTGGCGTTGTAGCTGCCAGTAAGGTAGGGAGTGGAGGTACCAGAGCTGCTTGTGGAACCATGGCCGCGACTATAATACAAAGGTGAGCTGATATCAAAGCACATGCGATTTCAAAAAAACTTGCATGAGTCGTGCCACTTCTCCCTGCTCATTCGCCATCAACGAAGCATAACTCCCAGATTCCAGAATGATTCCACGACGAATATAAACCAACGAGTCAAACTGCCGTATAAACGCAATACTGTTGGTGACCAAGATGCGGGCTTTGTTTGCAAGTATACCTTGAGGACCAATGACCTCGGCTACAGCAGAAAGTTAATAGGAAACAAGTACAATTTAACACTGGACACCTACTGAAGATATGGCGAGCGACATGGCTATCCACTGCGGCGAGACAATCATCCAAAAGGACCCTGAACCAACCGTGAGTGGAGAAAACCGATGGGTATACTCTGAAGACCTACAGATCGGCTCGCGCGTAGACAGCTCTCGCAAGTGCAATACGAGCACGTTGACCTCCACTGAGTGTAATTCCTAATAGCACATCCATTAGCAAACAAAAATAGCTGATAAAAGGCAAGTCATACCCTTTTCGCCCACTTCCGTGGCATCTCCCTCAGGCAAAAGTGCAAGATCCGGACCAAGAGCGCAAGCTAAAAAGATATTCGATAAGGCGCTCCCTCTAAAAAATCAAAACAATCCAATGCACCTTCGACAACCTTATTGTAAAAGCCCTCCTCATACTCGTGTGAGAACAAAATGTTTTCACGGACAGTTGCCGACAAAATCCTAACGGCAATGTAAGCTCCAAGTAGCATTCATAGAACCAAGAAACTGACCAAGGGTTCTGAGGAGCATAGGCGATAGTGCCGTTGACCAACACCTCACCTTCCCTTCGACTCATATCCCCAATGATGGCAGATAGCAAACTAGTCTGTAGCAAGAGTATATCAGATCGCTTCGCACAAGTTCGTATTTACTCTTACTCACCTTGCCAGCTCCGACCTTTCCAAACACTCCAATCAGATCCCCTTTGCGTATGCTGAGATTAATTCCTTCCAGCGTAGGCTGTTCAGCATTAGTCGCCCAACTAAAGTCAGCATCCTTGACCGACAGAACCTGAACGCAAACACATATGTGTCAATACAATCGTGAATCGGAAATCGGGAACCCACCTCGTCACCAATCTCCAATTGCAGAGATTGCTACAGTCTTGCGAGCGTCAGGCTGCAACTCGGCTGCACCCAAGTAATCCGATAGACGCTGGATAGAAACGATAGCTTCGATCACGTTTGAAGTGACTTGAGAGAACTGTAAAGTGATAAGCAACAAATCCATTGTCCATATACAATTGACATACCATAGCAAGCGGGAACTGCAAGAGCATGAACAAAGAAATCGCAGGGAAAATCACATCCGAAGTGAGAGGCTTCTC